TGAATACTCGAAAAAACCATCACACCCGTCCCAAAAAGCACAAAATCTATCAAATTTCACTCACGACTCGTCTGCAACCTCCAACAGACCAGAATTACACTATACATACTAATAATTCCAATCTCTCTAAAGCACCGCAAAAACGGAACCCAAATTCTACAAAAAAGAAATTCAATTCCATTCCTCGGCAAATCCACGGAAGCCCCGCTTACAATGGCCGCCATAACCTCGAACCAGCCCCTTCTATCCCCAGGAACCTCTTGCAGTCCACGACTCATTACCCGTATCATCGTCTAAACAACGTTCCCCGCAACAAATTCCATCCCATCGGTGCGCCGTTCGATCGATTTTCGTCAATATCCAATCACTTGTCTCCCCGTCTAGCGAAATGAAAAACGGGGAGGAAAAGAGAGAAAAACAAGGCGACCGGGCGGCCGGAAGGGGACGGGAGTAGACAACGCTTCCTCGAGGGGGTGAAAACCCGGTTGCCTCTTGACAGAAGGAAAATAATTAGTTTTCTCCCTCCGCCGGTGGGAAGTTCGCTCCACGAGGATCTCTTTTCTTCCCATCGCGGCGGACGATGATTCGACGCGTCCCGTTGCGCCCCCGCCGCCCCTGCCCTCGCCCTCCTTTTCAGCCGCGCCGCGCGTCGCCACGCGTCGAACGGTCCGAGAACTTTTCAGACACACTTTCCGCAGTCAATGCCGGGGCCGAAATCCCGCGGCGATACGGCATTCGCTCATTCAATTATCGCTAAACCCTGAAACAACTCCCGTTCCGCCCCGCCCTCGCCCGCCGCGTCCATTCTTCGCGCGTTCTCCAACCCTCGGAACGCAACGCGTGAATCTACCGTCATTTCCTCGTCCCCTGTCGCCCGGATCCCGGCGCCCGTACACCCCCCCGCTATCTCCCTCCGCCCCGTCGCGTCGCCGGCATCCCGGGCACTCGCTCTGTTCCCCGTTTTGTCGACATCGCTGCAATCCCACGATCCGGCGATATTGCTGAACTTCCAGCTCACTGTTCTAGAAAATGTAAAATAGGCGTTTCTCCGCGCGACACGCGCCACGAAATCGCGTTCAATTTTGTTGCGTCTGATAGAGGAGCCGAGTTAGGGGCGAGAGAACGGGACGCGGCTGGGGCCGCGGAATAACGAGGGCAGGGACGCGCCGCGGGAGGAAGGAATGCGAATTGCTTCATCCGCGTCGCGTCTAGTCAAGCCGATCCGCGACTTATCTCTTTCATGCCGAATTATTGTACTATGCGGTCTTAATGCTCGCACTTAGGCGCGGCCTTTTTCATTTATTCGCATTTTCGGCTTGATTTTTCTTTCGATGTCGATCGTTCGGGGACGAATGTTCGCATTAGCAATATTTCAATATTTTCTCAAGGGTTTCAGAATTAATGTTTCATATATCGATGCATTATACGAAGCTCAACCCCTGTAGTTTCTTTCTCAACTCGACACGACTACTGTGTCATTAGTAACTTATTGGAAAAAGAGGAACATTCTAGGGTTGTTCTATGTCTTTGTTTGCTCTTAAGTATAACAGTTGATTACAGAAGAATGATATTAACTTCGAATGAATCGAGTAATATTTATGTTTGTTAAATCACATTGAAAATCTTCACCGCGTCTGACACGTTGTTATAAGTCAAGGGGTTAATATTGTATGTAAGACTTCAACTTTCTTGTATCGAATCAACAGTCATCTGTCGAGTGCAAAGGGTCGAATAATTGTTCAACCACTTCTCGCGGTTTTTTCACAGTTTCTTCAGCGACCTTTCCTCTCGTTCCAGATAAGGCATTTGATTTATTTCTCGCGTTCCGCCTTTTTTCTCTGGAAATTAAACAGCTCCGATTGATCGACGACTCGTCGCGGTTTCCGTGGAACGCTCGGCCGCGCGACCGGGGGTTGACGGATCGTTCCGTTGCACGTATCGCGGAACAGTTTCGAGTAAAAATGGATTGTAAAGTTGAGTAATGGCCCGGGGTTTGTCTCGTTTCTGCCGGAATGTCCGACTCGGGGATTCGTTCTCCGCTGAGAATCGGCGCGATCTGTATGGAAATAATGGGTGCGTATTAACCAGTTCGATTAACAGGCAGCAGTATTAATGGGGTGCGTTAACAATTCGAGTTAACGAGCGAAACGCAACGAATACAGGGACGATGCGATTGTAAATCAGCAATAATTCACTGGAGAACAAGGGAGGAGCATATATATTCTCGATTATCTAAATGAAAAATAGTAACTCGGCGAAAATAAAGATACCGTCTTGTCCGTCCGCTGGAAAAGAGAAATAAATTATAACCGGTATTTATAGCTTACCGAGAAATATTTCTAACGAGCCTGACTCGATATTATAAGGCACGCGGAGAGGTTAACACAGTGAGAGTCTATGTAATCGAGCAGCGACGCGGAAACGAGAAAATATACTGAGCGAACGGAGGGTGCGAGTCGACTAGCGCGAACACCACGATACCGGGTCGGAACGGGAAATAGGGGAGAAATTAGGAGTGGAGAAAGATGCTCGCGTTTAAGTGGCGATAGCGTGCACAGACGCGCGGACACGGGGAAACAGGAAACACGGTTTAGTAATGCTGTTATCGCGGCGGACAGCGAAGGAAAATATGGCAGCTATTATTCCCCGAATACCTTTTGCCTAGCCGCGTAATTCCCGCGGAGAGGGAAGACGCTACCACTGTCCTTACTGGCTTCTTACTCGAATGGAAACCGGAACATCCGTCTACGTTCGTTTTTATCTGGCGAAATTGTCGGTTGTCCTCGGCTAGAGAGCGTGCAGATTAGGGGAATCGCCGGAAAAACCGACGACGGGGAAAGGAATCTTTATTTTTCCTCGCGGTTTCCTTGCGAGGACCGTCGCGCGCGGTTTTTGCTCACTGTATATATATATATATACACATATATATCGCTCTCCCCGTTATCAATACGATCCCTCTTCCCTAAGGCCGAGAAATTAGGACTGCGACGCGATAAATTTTCCCGAGTGAGTGGACGATACGCTCGAAAAAGCTGTAATGCTGTTTGTTGGGGAGGAAAAAGAGCGTCGTTGTCGCGTCTCATTGAATATAAGGGCGAGGTGATTAATCCGATGACCGTCGCGAAAGAAATGTAACGGATGGATAGAGGAAATGTAGTTTGAATCTGATGTAGGAAAATAATCTCGGTATCTCTTAGCCATTACTCCGTAGGCGCTCCTCAGCCAATGAATTTGACACGGCAAAATTATGTTTCATATTTAATATTAAACCGTGTACAATTCAACAATACGCGGAACATTGAAAGAATTTCTCAATTTGTGTGCCACTTCTCAAGTAAAATCGAAAGAACGTTGTTGGTATCTTATTATAAAGTGTTGAGTATTTTCAGTGAAAAACTTCCGGAGTGCAAAGGATCAATCGCAATGAAATTACGGAATTCATCGGAGATTCATGGTTATGTTGTACGAATGTAGTATCGAAGGATAAAAGATTGAAAGCACTCCCGTGACAATTTTATCTAACGAAAATCCCGGCGTTAATACAAATTATAAACGGGAACAGCTGAAGAATAACGATCGCATCGCGGAGCTCTGTCCAGCCCGCGAAATTCTAATTCGCTCGGACTCTGATCGATACGCGGGCGATGGGAACACCGGCGCGAATTTATCTCGGATTGTGTCAGCGGCCAGGCTTAATATCCTGTTTCCCGTAATACGCGGCTGGGCACGGTGCTCGCATGAAGAATTCCATGGAGGATAAATCGCGAATCAAAAGCTACTCGTAGCGGCGGTGTATCGCTCGACAACGGCTGTTGGTCGAAAACGTATTTACCGATATCGATGGCGCGCTTCCTAGATGGAAGCTCTTCCTCAACGGCGCGCCACGCCACCGAGCCGATCGACAGCACGTTGCATCAGGCCAAATGAAGTGGCAAATAACCGTTACTACGGAGTTTCCTGGTCAGTGCGTTTCTGTTTCTACCGTTTCCTCCGGTTTTTCTGCGAGAACCCGCCGCGCCCGAAATACTGAGGAAACTCCTCAGAATTTTCCGAGATCCATATTTCCTTGTGTCCGGAGCTTGTTACGATGGAACGGCAACAATTTCGACGCTTTATTCCATAGACAAAATATAGAAAGAGGAATGTCGAGACGATTCGTGTGTATCTTTTTGTCATGTGTAAGTAATTGGCAGATTTTAGATGCGTTTTTAATGTTGCCTTGGCTCTCCGTAATTAAAGATTTGATTGGAGTGATTATTGTAAGTTTAATGGGTTTGATGTGTTGACGTACTTCGAGGTGTATCGAGGAAGACGTAATAGGCTGAAAGATTCGCTGGTCTAATTGGGTTAACGATTATAATGTCCGAGCGTATATATCAAATTTACCAGCTAAGCGAACGTTTAGTACAAGTATTAATAATCCGGAGGTATTAAGGAATGAATTATGTAAATTGACTTGCGCGGGTGTATCAAAGTATCGACTACTGAAAAGGACGACACAGCGTGATATAACGTAATTACGACATCACGGAAGTGTTCTTCCTGTGCACGAGAAACATAGCCATGCGGAAAAGTTTATGCATAATTACATTATTAGTTCAACCTGAGATGTTCAAGCAAGTGTTAATAAATTTCAACGTCTAAATATATATTTATATAAAAAGAGGCTTCTGGTGTTTGCTTCCCTTTTTCTAACTTAAACAGGGAATTACAGATTCAGTGAATTTCGTTGGGATAGTACACTAAACTAAACAGCTCTCGAAAATACACATATAATTACATACACACGCGTGAAATAATTTCAAAAATAAATGTGTCTCTGATTCTACGTTACGATGAAAATACAGTAAAGAGTGCTTCCATTCGTTATTAAACCATGCGCTAGACCTTCAATTAAAGCTCCTGCTTACTCATTTTTATATATTCTTTCTACTTTATTTCTAGCAAATCCTTGAAAGAGACGAACGTACAATAATGAAATGACTTCATTGCTGTTGCAGCGCCGCCGCAAAAAGTGGAAATCAGCAATCACCCGAACAAAAAGAAGATCGAGGTGAAAGTGAACGAGTCGCAGCAATTGGAATGTGTAGTCAGATCAGCGAAGCCAGCTGCGACGATCGTCTGGTACCGCGGCAACACGCAGATCAAAGGGGGCGACACGTCGATCGCTCCAATTTCCATCGAGGGTGGTAAGTGAAGTTCATCTATTTACCATTAATGATCGAACTGGCTACTCGTTATTACGCGGCTCTCTCCGATCGCCATTGCCTTCTCAGGAAATAGCAAGCTGGCATCAGGATCCCTTAAAAGGGCGACTCGCACTGAACTTTAATCCGACAGCTGCTTTGCATAAGGAGATGCATCTAGAACTTAACCATATACAGAATTTACGAATATGATCTAGGTATCGTGGCTTTGGTAAAAAATTAATTAAATACCAGCGAACGGCCATTATGAAAATGTAGAACATTCTATATATGGAACTTCACGTTTGACAAATAATACTGTAACGCGGGGACTACAGAGCATGCAGTTGCTAATGGCTTACGGAGGAAAGTGGACGAACAAATTAATTAAGCACGGATCGTGTATGATGTACAGATATATCTTTTTCCGGGGATAGAAGATACCGAAGAAGCGGTTTATAGTTCGAGTTAGTGAGGCTTAGCTCGGAAAGGTTACGAGGGTACCAACGAAACAACGGAACGAGGCAAAACTCGAGACTCGACAAGATAGATCGAGCAGAAATAATTGACACCGACTGACGGCGGGAACGGGGACGAGACGAATGAGTTTTCTTGCCGAAATTAAGTCTTTCCTTCCCGCGTGCAATCTTCCGAAGCTATGATTAATCTTTGTTTACTTGATCACGGATCACAAAGTAAATTTTACTTTCGCCGCGGGGATTTATGGGGCTCCTACAGCGCCTCATTAATCAAATTTAAGCAAATAGGGGCGAAAGCCTCCTTTTTGAGACCTCGTACTCATCCTTTCGACGCGGAAAAACGGCAGGAAAGTATCCAGGAATATTTCTAAACGTTCAATTGCATATCATAATTAATGACACGTATATACCCAAAATTTCATTTTATCTCGAACAACTCTTTATCATTCACGCGTATTCAGACTTATCGTATTACTAATGAAGTTGTCGATGTACTTAGCCTGCTCCGAATTTAATGATTCTCAAATATATTATTGACGACATGATTTTGAATCCTTCCTTTATATGTCATCAACGGAGGCCTTTAGTTCTCGAGATAATCGCGAAGAACTTTGCTGAAAATCATCAGACTCGGCGCTGGCTAGGCACATCAACTTGGTCGTATTATTTCATCATTCAATACCTCCACGTCTTATCGCCAATGAAAATATAAATCCCTGCTCTCAGAATGACCTTCAAAAGATCTTGATATTTCAAAGTGATGCACATGAAACGCTATTTTCGGCATCTAGGATCTGCTGCGATTTGCATGTCCAGCTTAAGCGGGCAACCCTGCACACAACAGCCTCTCCGTTCGGGCGCATAGTTCCCTAACTATCCGTGTGGGATTGGTTTCGTCCCCTAAAAGTAAAGTCAACGATACTCTCGGCAGTGTGTCGGGAGACCTAACGTAACTCGACCCGAACGCAGACATCGAGTTCGATCGTCGAAACGGCCGGCTTGATAAACACCGTTTCCGGCGGGTTCCGTCTACGAAAGGCAGCAACAGAAGTTCGCCCGCGTAAATCCCGATGAACATCGGTCAATCGATCGGCCGGGGGAGCAACGGTTAAAGTGGATTCCCCGGCGCGCCACGTCGATTCAACCGGACCCCACCGGACCTAATTCCCCTTAATCCATTTTTACTGACAATTAAAGTCCTGAAGTCGGTCGGGGCGGAGGTCGGTGTTGGAACAACACTTCGAATCGAAAACCAAGAAAACGGAGGAGAAGAATGGCCGAAGAAATCAGACGGGCAGCGATCCAGAGGAGAAAGAGAAAATAAAATCTTGGTTCCCCCTGTACCGCTGTGCTGATTGTGAGCAATCTTCTTGCTGCGGGCCGGATTCGAGAACCCAATACTCTTCGCGGGCCGCAGCGCGCGCAATATTAGGAGATGATTCGGCCCTCGACCAACTATTAATGAACACGATACGAGTCGAAGAGGAGGAAATAGGAAATAATAGGTTACACCGCTTTTAACGCTGGAACTACCACGTGGGTCAGATCGACCCTTTCCTGAATTATCGAAAAGATAACAGAAGCTTCTCCGAGACACTGAAGAAATCGTTTTAGTAACACGCAAACTGAATCATGAGTCAATTGAAGTCTCGATAGCTGCACTCTTGGAGTTTCTATAGAAATATTTGAATCATTCGACGGCTTGGTAGTTCTAGCGTTGAACTTCGTTAACTTCGAAGACATTTAGGTATTCAAAATCCTCTAACCACTGGAGATTAAACTATAACTACTAGAGGAAAAGAGAATCGATCTCTTGTTCTTCGAATAACTAAAGCGTTCGTTAAAAACCGTCTATTCCAAATATGAATATTCGAGGTCACGAAAATGACGATATTCTTCTTCAATGGAATAGTAGACAGACGAACGATCAATTTCCAGAAGCGGAATCGGTTCTGCCGGCTGCCGGTCGTGTGGCTGCGCGAGTACGCCCCAAGACGGAGAAAAACACGAGAATCAACGGAGGGAAATGTTATAAAAGACGAGTGCCGGGGAAGCAGAAGTAATAGGGAGGGCGCGGGAGGTAGGTGGGGCCGAGGGAGACCGTAATGGTTCAACGAGCAGACTCGCGGGCTGTTATCCGGTTTCCTACGCCGGATTCCCTATAATAATTAATGAATATGAAAGAGACCTGTCAGCCGGTATCCAGCGTCGCTTGTTATCTTTATTTAAATCCCATGAACGACGACGCTCTTCTCGCGATTTAATCAACCCGAAGGATCTGTTTATCCCTTCGTTTGCCCGGCACTCCAGACACCGGACCGCATAAATGCGCGGGCCGGAAGGAATAAATATTGAAAGGCGGATCGGCCCGGTAATTATCGATTCCCGGTCCACGGCCGAGGGATTGTCAACCGGCGGTGTAATACGTATGCAAATGGCCGGTCGCCGGTCGACCGGAAGTAATTTTATTTTATTGAATTGATCGGCGGCGGGCCGACCTTCCGCTATTTTTGCCCCCGGAAAACGGAAGTCTTCGGATCCGATGGGTTCGGAGCGGCTCGCAAGACACGGGCTTCACGAGGCCGATAATTAACCCCGGGGTTTATGAATCGGCCCGTTCGTGAGTTTGTACTCGACGGAACGGCCGTTGATCGGTTCTTAATGGAATCGTTACTGGCTCGAATATTTCGTATCTTTGTTGAGTTACGCCTCGACAAATTGCGGATCGGAATGAGGGGATTCGATTATTTCATTGGCAGGCTGTGTTAGGGTCGAGACGGTCGTTTCGTGGAGATTCTTTGCTGCTTTTCATTAAGACATTGTAGAAATGTGATGAGATAAAGATACTGTACATATATGCACCAGGAGATTAAGATACGAACGCGTATGTTCTTAACCCTTTTAGTGGGATTTGTAGATTGAATAGAAATGAGAAAACGTATCATTGTGTATAATCCGAGGTACAAATGAAGAGGAGACAACAGAAAGTATGAAAAATTCCGTTGACGATCATATTTATCGCTAGCAACGATAAAGAGTCACTGAGAGCGACGTTGGCGCTCCAAGAGTCAAGTAAATTACATTTGTAGCGAAATTATCGAAATGGAAGTCCCGGTAGAACTACTGTTTCTACTGGAAAATTGCAAAGAGCGAAGTAGTTCTCTTGGGCACGGAAGAAATCGTGGAACAGGAGGATTTAAGAAAGCGTGGGTAACGTTAATAATAGAACTGAGATTATTAATATCATTCCCGGGCGAAAGCGTCACAACTGCTGCGATTGTGCTCGAGCTACGGGAAGAAAGATCTTCGCGCGGCCTGTACGGGACGATAGATAAAACTTTCAAGCAGCTGGAACAAGTACTGCAAACCATAGTTACGGCCCTGGAGATCATGAAACGTTAACCGCGTTAGAGGAGCACGGAAAGAAGGGAATATGGGGCGAACGTAGAGAGAGGTGCATTGTTGGAAAGGATATAATGGAGCAACTAAGACACTCTATTAAGTTATTATCTAGTGTGCTTTCGAAAAAAGCATTGCCGGGCAGAATGGGCGCCGTTCAAACATTAATCCGGTCGGAAAAGTGATTCGAAGCTTGCCGAAAAAAGGAAACAGCCGATTCTTTCTTACAAAGAACACGTTCGCGGGATATTTACCCAACCAATGAAACTGAACAATTATTTAACCCATTAAACGTCGCACGGTTTCACGTAGCAAAATACGCAACATGAGAAAACTATAATATAAAATTATTTCGCTGAATCGTTTTATTATCATCGCACATTCATCTTTCCGAATGTCGCCACATTAGGTGGCATTATTTATAACGTAACAATTTGCACAAATAATTATCGTTTAATTGGCTGGATCATAGTAATTCGATTTGGCCGGGGGTCACCGGTGACCACCGTGGTATTCAACGTGTCGACAAACGTACTAAAGCTACAAATTATCCTATCCCCTGCCAGAATGATATTCTTACACATTAATCCGCAATTCCATCGAACGTGATTTCATACGAACGTCAGTAACGTCCCGATAATTGGATCTTCTACAAATTCGCTCGCAATTAAAACGAAAGATTCGACACGGTCATTAAAATTATCTTGCTAAAAATAACGTTGCGAATAATTAATATTCATCGCTAAAATAATTGCCAAGGTTACGTGTCCGACGCCGTTTTAAATGAAAGTAATTTTCAAGCCTGACGTGGGTAGAGGGAAAGTTGTAATCTAGAACGTGGAAGTGGTAAGGGAAAAAAGGTTAGGAAAATTGTGGTAGGAGAATACACTTGCGGAAATAAAGAAGAGAGATCATATCCGGCTGTCAGTCGTACGCCGCGGAATTCTTCAAAAATTCATCCGCAGTGGCGCGCGGACGGAAAAAGCGGGGAAAGTATCCTGGAATTATCGTGCGCGGGAAATCGTGGCGGCGCGGCGTGATATCGCGAAAGTTTTCGAATAGACGGGGACCGAGCGGTCTCGACGCCCCACAAAAGCAACTATCCCGGGCTCAAAGATGTAACAAGCAGGAGAGGAGCGATGACATGGATCTCTTGGCCCGCAGGACATGTTCGTATTCTTTGATAAACCCGGCAAAGCAAGTGGCCACTTTGATAAAAAACCGACCCGCTGAAAGCTGAATGGAGGTTTAAGCGGCGCGACCTAAATTTTTCTCGGCCCTATGTTCTAGCGGTGTTTGGAAAATAGAGAAATTCATTGAAAAATGATCGTGTAAACATTCGATAATCACGGCATCAGGAACCTCTTTGTAACTGCAATTATTCAGTGTTTATTGTACTTGGATTTTTTCCTTGTTGCTCGGATAATTTCAGAGGAACGAGCATCAGTTTCGCGTGAAACATTCCTGCTTCGTAAGTTATGAATAGGTAGACTTTATGCATTTATCAATTGCAACGTTCGAGTCCTGATCTGCGTTGAAATTATTCAGTGTTCACTGTACTTGGTTTTTTCCCTTGTTGCTCGGATAATTTGAGAGGAACGAGCATCAGTTTCGCGTGAAACATTCCTGCTTCGTAAGTTATGAATAGGTAGATTTTATGTATTTATGATAGAGTGCGCGGAATGTAATGCAGAAGAGTGTTGAAAAGAGTTTGATAATGTTGCTTTATTTCGAACTGATTGAAATTCTTAAGAAAAGGAACCGATTTCCATTTGACATTATGAAATAATGTAAAGCGGTTTATCAGCAGCTGACAAAATTGGCTAATTTAAATAATATTCCATTACCTCGCGAATTCAATGAAATTAATTTTCATAGAGCTAATGCTGCTTTTAACATCGCAGCTGTAGCCGATGGAACAATTCCAACGCGGAAGTTTGTAACGGTAATACGGAATAAAATTACTAAGTCCAGGATAAAGCCAATTATCTTGCAGTTGATCATGCTAATTACGAGAAATATAATGGTGATCTTTCCTCGCGAAAAGCGGAGTACGAGTGCCGCTTGCTCCGCTGTTTTAAAGCAAACGTATCGGCGATTAGGATTTGTAAATTGCCCGCACGGCTACGTCGCGGTAACAATATTTTTTAGTGAGAAGAACTTATTAGCGAGAAGAATTAAACGAAGAGGAACGCGTAAAAAACGTTATTATACGCGTAGCTGGGGAAATTATTTCACCCCGCCGAAATGGAAAATAATTTTCGCGAGAAAGAAATTGGCCAGCCTGGACAATGTTTGCCCGAACAGAACTTGCAGTCGTAAATTCTATCTGGAAAAATTACAAGTGAACCGTTGTCGGATTAAAAATATTCAAACCTGTTGAATTTTTTGAAAATCAACAAAATGTTTTAATGCACTTGGAAATTGTACTTAACCCTTTGCATGCATTGCAAATATTCATCATTCTCTAATGAAATATCGATCATATTCTTTGCCACTGTCATAAAGACAAAATTTTGAATAAATTTACCTTTTGCAACATTTTCCAATGAGCAACAGATGACATTCTTTGAGACGAACTGAATGATAGAACATACATAAGTTAAGAAACAAAGTTACTGTTTCTATATTTTATATTTATAGATTATACAGATGCGCAAAGGGTTAAGCAACAGGACAATCTTCAACATCAGCGCATCGATACGACACACGAAGTTTAACATTGAATTTAAAATTTTATAATTTTACTACGTTGAATCGAAGGTAGCTAAGAGTCGACTCTCAAAGGTAGCCGAGAACCGACGTCATCGCACACTTATTTCCATGCGAATGCAAACGATTCTACAACTAAACCAATGAAATCCACCTTATCAAACAGAAAGTCAGGTGTCTGAACAGCTGTAAGTAAATTTCAAACGTGACACGCGAAATCCTTCAGGCGCCGTTCCCCGTCGCCGTATCGTCTCAAGGATTCCACGGAGCCGAACGTTACGTCGACGCTGATGGAATTCACCGCAGAAAATTCATCGTACCGTGAACTCGTCCGTTAATTTTCGAAACTCCGGATACACGTCGGGCTGGCGCGTCGGAATGGTAAAATTGTTGAAAACCTGGTCGAACTAGTTTCGGTCTTGTCTGCGCGCGCGGTGCAGGGGAGGAGGGAAGTTCTTGGCGCGTTCCGAAAATGAAAGACGAATTCGAATGCGCGCGCCAGCCGTCCGCCAATCGGATTTCATACTTCGGGGGCGGAATTTCGGCGGTTCGCTGCTAGTTTGCAACTAAGTCGCGCGAGTTAGTTTACTTCTAACTGTGCACACGCAACTTCCCGCAGCCCGCCTCGGTTCCGTGTCGTTCTCACGTGTTTCCGAGAGAATTCTGTAACTTACCATTTTCCAAGTTAACGCGAGCTCTCGGCCAATTGTATCCGTAACTCTCCGCGTCGATGCGCAGCGTTTCGCCGAGACGGTTCGCGTCCGATTAAAGAGGCCGCTCAGCCGAGGATCGACGAACATTTTCGCCGGTCGGCACGTAATTTTCGATAGGGCATAGTCCGGGAAATATCGATCTGCCTATTCTATATGTTAAAGACTGGAAATAGCGGGTCCGGAACGGAGACGACGGGGAAAAAGGAGGAAACGCTGTTCTTTCATCAAAGATACTCTCTCCGCGGCGTATCAAGGGGTTCTTACTTCGCGAGACTTCGAACGTCGACTTCGTGATCTTCAAAGAATGAAGGAAATGTATTCCAAACGCCTTTGCTTGATCGAATGATCCTGGTTCCCTTGGAAACCCAGCCACGAACGACCGTTTCCCGGGGAGTATTCTCATTAGAAACATTATCGTCCTCGTATTTCAGTAGCGCCGGTGCCGTTCCGTGGAACGAAACATCGTTTCCCGTTCGAACGACGGAGAAACGCGGACGCGGACGATTTTTCGTCCGTCGGTCGGATAAATATGTTTTAAACCGAAATTCTTCGGACGTCGGGGGAATTAATTAATTATTATTTGACGTGATTTTCCATTGAATTTCCTCGAAACGCGCGGCCCGCGACGCTGCCGTCCGATCCGCGATGCCCGTCGGCCGCGCGGCGTCGCCCTGTAATTAAAATCCTCGCCGCATAATTAAATTTCAGATTACGAGCGGCGTTTCAGCGGTTACGCGGGTTAGACAGATTGTTAATGCGATATCAACTACGACGAATTCGACGGGGAAATTTCGGCGGGACCGGAAGGGATCGCGGAACGGGAACGGACGAGCGCGGGAAAGAAGGAAGGGATTCAATTACGGGGAGGTTCGACGGGGATTTTCGTACGATACTACCGAGATGAAATTGAACGGGTAACATCGCCGCCGTAAATGAAAACGATGCGAGCTGATCGCGCGAATTGAACGGCCACCGCGAAAATGCCACGCTGCTGGAGCGAGCGAACGTCGGCGGGGAGGGGGAGGCCGCTTTTTGCGCTGCCGCGACCGCATTCGCGTTTCCGCTTAATGGCCGACGGTAACTGACGTCGTTGTGGAAGTCGCGACTTCTGAAATGAAATAAAGAGGCATCGCTACTTTGGGTAAAAGCCTGTCCGGCCTTGTTTGACGACGATTCAACGGTTTAACAACTGTGCCGGCGCCAACACTTTGGCCCCCGCGACCGATCGGGAGCGTAACCTAAATAAATATCGGCGAAACATCGCGATGTCGCGACTGTCGAGCTTCTTTAACGCGATTTAGCTGCGACGAGTTCGCCCTTCGATGACGCGCTGTCGTGCCGATGTTCTCCTTTTTCTTTGGAACCGTCTTTTACTCGTGACATATTATTACTTAGGTAATAACCAGCGAAAGATGTGATTTGGTAAACCAACCGCTTGCGAAATTTTGGAAAATTTCAGGAATTCTTTGTAGAGAACATTGAATTATGTTTTGTCTTAAATATTCAAGAGGGAAAGTACATGTTAGTCTCTAGTTATTTGGAGGATTTTAAATATCGAAGCTCGAAGTTGCGATATATTTTCTGTATTACTCTTTTTTTCGTCGAGATATATATTTTTCAGTTAAAAATTAGTAGATCAGTTTATTCGATTACCTGTGGAAGAGGTTAACGATCGGATAGTTCCAATGTCACGGAAAATTCGTAAGTGCGCGTTCTTACGAAACTTGGTTCGCGAGCGTCTCCGTGGTAACGATTGAACGCGTAACCATCTACCACAGTTACAAATAGCACGGAATTCTCGAGACAGTAGTTAGCAGAGAATGTCCTTATCGAAAGGGTGTCTCCCTGTCTTCGTAATTTAATATCTGCTTCATCCGAAGAGGGGTTAAATGACTGTGTTATACCAAGGGAATAGCATAATCAATAGTTCGTTAATTAAGTCTGGTCTAGTCTTCATTATGCATGAAGGGAACTTCAATTCTGAGTGGAGGTGCCCAACCAGACGCGGAAAGGGTTCTCTTGCGAAAAAGTTGTCGCGGTAACTAATTTCAATTTATTGAAGAATGACCTATTTAATTAATTGCTCAATTGAAATTCCTGGCTCCTATTTGAGTAACTTTGAAAAAGAAATATCACCTTCGCCATCTTTTATACTGCGAAGTACTACTTAACCCTTAGCACTCCAGTAATCCTTTTGTAGTCGATCAGCAACTGCAACTAATTTTTATAGTATTCCCAGCGAAAATGAGAAATGCTGTAACATTTCTTTGATCTTTTAGTTTCCTTCTCAATGCAAAATTTGGATGTGTAGAGAATCTAATAATTTTAGGGTAGTTTCTTTAAGATTCATTAAAATATTTAATATTATAACTGGTGCAATATTGGAGCCTATAGAGTTTAAAAGGTTAATAGTTCTATGATACTTTTCATCTATTTTGCTTCACCTGAATCGTTCTAAATTATATTTCTTTTATTATCCTTTCAGATAAAGAGATGCAGAAGCCTGGCGAGAACAAAAAGGAATTACTCAAATACGATACTCACGGTTCCATTACCATTGTTCCCACGGCGGACGACAACGACATGGATTATACCTGCGAGGCTAAGCATCCCGCCATACCCATCGACATGCCTCTAAGGGCCACCATCAAACTCTCCGTTTTCTGTAAGCAAAATATGTGAAAATACTTTCCCGACGAACACACCAACGCGATACGCCGTTCAACGAGTCGAGTCCGCCGTTATAGCGGCGTGTACGCGGCGACCATTTAGGTGCAACCGTGCCAGTAGTATAACCTAGAATTCGTCAGACAAACCGTACACCCAGAATCCACGCATCTGTGATATACGAATATTTTCAATAAATTCTCTCGTACGAAAACGAGAAACGCGCATCACAGAATTCATAACCATAAATATTTTTCGAATTTATAAATGATAATATTTTTACGAAATAAACACTTCTCTCCTAATGGTCCAACACATTTAACATTAAATTCCTATAAACCGAAAACAAGCATGAGAACGGTAACCCAACGATAAATATAAATAAACAATACACTGATAAATAATATATCAAATATTCCTCATTTCAGGAATATAACAAAACCAGTCACTGAAATTCAACTGAAGTTATACAAGGAACATTCCATAATTCATAACGTACGCGTAAGAATCGGTAGATTGATCGTTAATTAGTCGTCGCGCGTTAATCCGTCCACGAGGCGGATACATATTAATCCCAGCCGGTAGCGATCCTCTTTCCTTGGCTACCGGGGAACTTTTATTAAGAAACTTTTTCCATTACCAGAAGAATAACAGGGTTCGTGGTCTCAGTGCTCGTATGATTGAATAATTTCCCAGACCCGCCCGGCATGCCGTACATCGAGGGATACACGGAAGGCGAGACGGTGAAGCGTGGACAACAGCTGGAGCTAACCTGCCGATCGCGCGGCGGCAATCCGCCCGCGCAGATCTTCTGGTACAGGAATAACGAGCACGTCACCACGGAGTACGCGACCAAAGGCAGTTTCTCCGAGAGCGTATTGTCGATCATCGCGAAAGCGCAGGATAACAACGCCAAATACAGATGCGAGGTCTCCAACATCATGAGCGTGGAACCCATGAAAGTACACGTCGATCTCACCGTGCTCTGTGAGTACAGCGCGCTCCTCAAATAATTCCTTGCGACATTCGTCTCGTGTTTTAATTAAATCCGTTTAATTAAATCTCCGCGCCCCGCGCCCCCTGCGAGCATCGTGTCGAGTTAGTGACGCAATAATATTACCCTTACGTCGCGATACTTTCTGTTTCCCCGTTTTTTTATTTCGTTTATATAGTGTCCTATCTGTCCGCCGCGAAGATCTCGGCTTTAATCAGCTAACTGTGGAACTTCGTTTGAAAAATCTCTCATTATGTGCGCAATAAAATAATGAAGTGTATACTCGTTAGGCCAAATGCACTTAAAATATATCCTAACGAGAAACTAAAGCAGAACGAAAAAGAATTACATGTTTGTCTCGAAAAATAAATAATCCATCGTTGAAAAAGTTACCATTAAGAGTTTTAAGATGACGTGTATACTCGTCAAACACAGTTAACTGGTTAACACGTTGACCGCCACGAAATTCATCAGCGTTTTATGTATCACTGTTCTTTCTGTAGCAAAGATAAAGCAAGAATTATTAATTCTTTGATGTGAAAATTCTTATATTATCCTATTTATTTACGTTACGGAAAATTTGTGTTCGAAATCAATTATCTACCGAGTCATCATTGTTTTCTTGTAAGTTGAAAGCTCCGGTCATCGGTGACCGCCATGGCAGTCAAAGTGTTTTCTAGCCGGCGATGTTTTCAGGGAGTATTTTATTCACTTCGAAGTAAAGAGAAACAGATAGGAAACTTAGTTCAACTTTATTTCTAGCGAAGGTGTTAAACGACAACTGAAACTTTAACTTAAAATTATTTTCCAAGCTTAGTCGTATATTCTGAATCGACTTTCGACTTTCTTAATAATGATTATCAAATTAACTATAGGGAATGTCTAAAATTGAGGAAACATTATCGAACTGAGAATATAATTTTGTGTGAATATTTCGAAAGGTGTCTTTCGACACTTTCGGTAGAAGTATTGTTAATACGTATCTCTCATCTTCAACGCTTCTTCGACTTGAATTCTTCCCGAATGAAAAGTCTGTTTTAAGATTTCGCATTCTAACCGAAGCAAACAGCTCGATGCAGCGCTACGGATAATTGATTTCCAATCAAATCCCAGTTTAACACGTGCGCTACCGGATTAGATATTCGCGACGGCCGCAATTTTATAATTTACATGCAGAAACTGAAATTAATCCTACGGATATTCTTACTTAAAGTTACAGAATTACATTTAGAAACTCAATCGCTCCTATCAGCTTCATGTTTTCAATAGTTCGTTCGCAAGGCTCACTGTATTGAATGAGATATTACAGTTGAGAAGCTCGTCGCTGAAACAAACGTTGCTACCGGTCGTGTTAAGTTCGACTAATTCGAAGCGGAAGGAGCGTAATTACCAAAGACTGCGATTGTTTCCAGTCGCGCCGTCCGGAGTGACGATCACAGGGCCAACAGAGGCGAAAGCCGACGAGCAAGTGGTGATCACCTGCACGACAGAGAACTCGAACCCGCCGGCGGACATAAAATGGACGGTGGACGGGCACAATTTCGAAAGCAACGCCTCGAGGACCGATCCGGCGCCGCAAGGCGGCTGGATCACAACGTCGAACGTCACGTTCACCATAAACCGGACCAGCCGCAGCATCGTCGTGATCTGCGACGCCTCGAACGTCAAGCTGACCGAGAACGTCGTTAGGACGCACACCATTAACGTGATTTGTGAGTACACAATGAGCAATTAGCGGAATGAACGGGGAATGTAAACGTAATCCTGCGAGCAGAATCCGGCAGCATAGCCACGGATTAATATGAAACTAATCCCGCGGAACCCTTAGACTTCGCACTGTATCTTGTCCGTTTGTCCTGGATCTGTTGAGTCCCGTACCTAACTCCCGAACACCGGCGTCGAAGCTAGATGTAATTCGAACTTGCGTGAAAATTAATTCCGCGATGGATGGAGGAGGCTCCTCGATATGTAATTGAGCATTGTTCGCCGGATTCGGATCTAAGGGATTGCACGGGGACAAATGCACTGCAAAATTAGACTCCGCTTAGACGCTGCTTCGTTTTGATTCGTGGAACTTTAAGAAATTAACACACTATCGGCGGGAATGGTATTAATACCTTTTATGCAGAACGTACGCTAAGTGTTAGCAAAACACTTACCGATGCTTGTTTTTTTTTCATTGTCACTAATTTTTGAGCAGTCGTCATTTTTTAATGTTGTGTTCGTGCAGTGCATAAAAAGAAAAGTTTAACTTCTTATATGTGTAAGTTTTGTCAGATTCTTCATAGGGGTGTGTTTTCAAAAATACTATACATTAAAAAAATATTAGAGTCAATAAAATTACTATATAAGAAACTGAATAATAAAATATTCCTAAACATTATTACGCTTTTCTCTTACTACATGAACTTTTAAAACTTTCAAAAATTAACAATTATTGTTTTTTTTTCAAGAAGTTTTTAAAAGAATTTTTTTTTAAATATCATCTACATCTTCGAAATACTATGTGATACCTATTGTCCAAATTTCATTGAAATCTTACTATTAGATGTGAAGATATTACGTGTTTTCTAAAAAGTGCACTTTTTTCATACTTCACTAATTTTCGCCCGCTATACGTGTCAGTGAAGCTCATGCTCGTGTTAATAGAATTCTCAGTTGTTTCGTAGTAAATTATGAAATTTATTCGATTAAGCTTGCGAAGTTTGAGTGAACGTTTCTATCGACGAACAAATTGATATGCGGATCCTTGGGAAGGGTTTTACGTGTTTGCGAGGTACGAAGGTAGTATAAGGATCTTCAGGAAAAATTGGAAAGTGCTTTGAATAGAATTTAATGGATTTTTATTTTCTCTTTTATGAAAGTATTCTTGAGGGGATTTCGCTTTTATCGTTGGAATGGAAGAATGAGGGAAGGGAATGGTTAATGGTGTAAAAGAAACGAGTTTGTGAGTTTACGGTGTTTCCTTATGAATTTCATTCGTAGATCCTCCGTCGAAGCTCAGTATCACTGGCTACGAAGAGGGGACGACAATTGACGCTGGCACAGTGCTGAGATTGATGTGCACCGCCACCTCCGGCAATCCGTTGGCTACTTTGACTTGGTACAAGAATGATAAACAGGTGAGCCGGATTAGATGTGTAATTCGCTTTAAGAAATAATCAAACACTCGAGGACAGTCATTTCACGTGTCACGAGCAGATTAACTGATACGCGTTCCTGTATTTTCTGCCCCAGATTCAGGGATCTACAAAAACACGCGATCACGCAGTATCCAGCGACGTCACGATGCTCGTGAACGCATCCGATAATAACGCGCGCATACGATGCGAGGGGTCAAATTCTGCCACGGAGATCCCGCTGATGAAAGTCATTGCCTTGAAAGTCAATTGTAAGTAATCAATTATTTCCCTCGAATATTATGCTACACGAATAATTCAAGAAAAGCAATTAGCAAATCGAACATAGAAAATCGTTTCGCTTAATCTTTCGTCAAATTTTTCTCGTTATGTTTCGAACGATTTTACTATGTTTGTTTTATTAACGTTCAACATGATCCTACAGAATACTGACTGCAGAAACGAAACGCAGAGTTCAATGATATAACAATTAACGAACGCGAGTGTTGAAAGATGTTCCCTTGTTTTCTAATTAACTCATTGTATGCCGCACGATTTGATACGCAATATGTGAAATGAAAAATTACAATATTAAATTATTGAGTTGAATTGCGTTGTTAGTATCTTCGGTTTGTCTTGCTAAATATCATCGTATCAGGTAGCGTTATTTACAAGGTAGAAATGTTTTCAAATAACTATCGTTTAATTGGGGAAATTACGGGAATTGGGTTTGGATGGTGGGTCACCGGTGACCTTCATGGCATTCAACGTGTTATTTGAATATCACGAGAAACTCTCTTCTACAATTTCACACGCATAATCGATTCTGAATTTGCCGTTTCTTTTCTATTCCAGTTCCACCAGACAAAGTCAAGATCACTCGCGAGCCCCAAAGTTTACACGCTGGCGAAGAGGGCCGTATCATTTGTGAATCGAGCAGCAGTAATCCAGCGGCGGAAATGTCATGGTGGAAGTCCGGCATTTTCGTGCAGGGTACCAAAAATGGCACTAAACCCGGCTTACACGGTGGATTTCTGTCGTTCGTCGAGCTCTCGTTGGACATCACCGAAGAAATGAACGGGGAAGTGTACACGTGTCAGGCGAGGAACAATCAAATGGAAAGATCCATTCACGACACTACGACCCTCGATGTCTTGTGTAAGCACACACGTTTCTTGCAAGAATCAGTGAACAGAATATATCCGTGAAAACGAGCACGTAAAAACAACATTCTGCGATGAATGGTCTCTATTCAAACTGCAAATTTTATATTCCTCTTACATTCAATGTAGGTACTTCCTATGCAAGAAAGAACTTTCTTATAAAATGATAATTACTTGAATTAGAATACTTCCTTCTTAATAGTTAATTCTTTTGTCGGGGCTTCGTTAGTGAAATGAAATGTTTTATTATTATATGTAATAGATTTTGAAATTTATTATCGTATAGTGATGAATATAGTAATCAGTTTCATGAAATTATATGAGTTGAATAATTGAAAAATTTTCTTTAATTCACAGATAAGCCGACATTCTCGTCGGTGGAACCTCACGAATTGATCGGTCTGGAAGGCGAACCTTTCATGGTCTCCGTCTCCGCGACGGGGAACCCGAACGACATAAAGTACAGATGGACCAGGGACGGTTTGCCGTTGGTCAGCAGTAACAGGAGAATATCCGTTCGCGGGTCTATGCTGAATATTACTAAACTGGATCGTCACGATGCTGGGACGTACATTTGCGAAGCGACCAACGAGGAAGGGACGACGTTCTACCAGTTGAACTTAACCGTTCAGTGTAAGTGCGAAACGAAAGTAATATCCGGTTTCAAGAATAACGTTGGATATTTTAAATCGCTGCCCCCCCCACCGATATTTAATTAAGTGCTTATAAACTCCGAAGAAAAATAAATAAATCCTCTTACTCTGCAACGTAATCCTGTTTCCTTTGTGAAACTGTTATGCTCTGATTAAAGAACTTCTACTTTCCATTAAAGTATTCTTGGATGTTGTTTCTTAAGGTGTCGTTCATAAACTTTTTAATCCGGCAAGGCATGCTATAAATATCAAAGTAGTCGGTATTCAGGGGAGACTGTAAATCAAAATACAAAATTTCCTTGAGCTTCGCATATTTTTATTATTACTCGTTTAATGATGCTGCATTATACTCGACGAACATAATTAAATTGCTTTCTTCTGCGTTACATTATCCTGCTTCCTTTGCTCCGTATCTTTCACGTTATCCGTTACATTCTTGACGTTTAATTTGAAACCGTATATCTTCCAGACTCCGCGAAAATTAAGCACACATCCGCGTCAGGGATAGTGTATCCTCCAGGAATCGAAGCGAAATTATTCTGCGAAGTGGACGGTAACCCCATAGGAGACGAATACGTCACATGGCAGAAAGTCGGATCGAACTCTGAGCTCTCCGGCCGATATTCCACCTCTTTTATCAATAAAACTTCTTATCTACACATCGAAAATCCTGATCAAGAGGACGTCGGAGAATACCAGTGCAAAGTCAATAATGGGATCGGAAACGTTACATCCGACCCCATTCTTTTTGTTACAAATTGTACGTATACTCTTCTTCAATTGATACAGGTTTCTTACTTTTTTCATTGGAATTCTTTGATTTTATTTGAAAATTTATAATAAATAAAAATATACAACGAAAATATATTAATGACAGACTCAATGAATATTATTAGTAACGAATACTATTTTGCTACAGTCAAACCACAGATGATGAACACACCCTTGACAAGAAGGGCAGCAGCGAACAAAGGCATAAACGTGCAACTGTTCTGCAAAGCTCGAGGCTCTTCGCTGCCCCGATTCTCTTGGACGTTCAATGGAAAAACCTTGCTGCCGAATGTCACTGAACACAAATACAGTATCACACACACGGATGTAAGTTAACGTTAAACATTCCCGGCTAACAATCACCGACAACGAATTCAAATTAACGATCCACGCGTTTCACGTATAGATCTTGGCAATTATTTCATTAGTATTTATGAAATTTAGTATATTACTTGAATTATTATAAACTAAAGTATTAAGTTACACCATAAATAGCGCGTTTCTTTATATTTCCTTTGCGTTTGAATATGTATGAGACGTTTGTCTTAATTTTGGGGAATACAGGAAATATAAAAATTTTCAAAGCACACGCCAAATTACGGAAACGTTTACATCGGACTGTAAAGAACGAGAATGAATTAATCGAATCGCGCTGTTCCCTTGACAAACGTATTTCTGTCCTGCCCGCAGTTAAGCGAATTAGTATCGGAGTCGACGCTGACCATTTTCCGGGTGACGTCCCACGATTACGGCAAATATGAGTGCCGCGCGATGAACAAGATGGGACAGTCGACGGACATCATACACCTGGACGTGACATCGCCTCCGGATAAACCGACCGATCTCGAGGCTTATAACATCACTCACGACTCTGTCACTCTAATGTGGAAAAGAGGATTCGACGGGGGCTTACCGACATCCTACCAAATACGGTGGCGCGAGGCGCGCGACTACGAGGATCGATACTACTATCTAGACGTTTCTCCCGGGGAATATAAAACCACGATAACCGGTCTGTCCCTGGGGACCTACTATGTGTTCAGCGTGAAAGCCATTAACGAGAAAGGAGACAGCGGTTTTCTGCCCGACCTAGTCAAGGTCCAGACGCTACGTAAGTCTCGCCAAATTGAATCCTCCAGTACTCTGTAAACGCTGTGTGGCCGTAACGATTGCTTTTTAGAGTGAACAGTAGCTGCGCCATTTAGAGTTACCATTATTTTTGTTTGTGTCACTTTTCGTGTTCGTTTTGTTTTTCCTTTTTTTCAACGGGTCGATTGTTGCCCGAGCGAGCGTCGTTGCCGGGGCAACAGGACCCGACCTAACAATATTCCATTCGGGCACGGATTCATTAATACCCCGAATCCCTCGATTCGCGTCATCATGCATAATTTATCGTGCCGCGTTGATAATGTGATCGGTACTCGATTTATTCTTTTCCGATAGTGTCGCAGTAGTTGTCGTTTAACTCGTAAACTGCCGGCTTTGTTTCCTTGAATTTTTATTGGTGGATCGAATGGAGTGATTGGTACATTTCGTTTTCGTTCGGATTGCGGCAGCTTGCGAGTTAGAAGTGAATCAATGGTCTTAGTCAGCAATTAATCCTGCGTGCTTTTGTGGTGAAATAATTGTTAGATGATTAGATCGCGGGGCCAGACACGTGAATTCTCGTGATGCAATGCTCCGGTAACTGATGGGGGTTTGGTGAAAGAGAGTGCTATTGTGTTTTGTATAACTTCGATTCCTTTGATACCTCCTCTCGTTACCGACGCGTTAAATCATTACTGATCACGTGGCTCGCCCTGCCTAACATTCTGAAGTAATTAGTATATATTTCAAGCATCATAGAGAATCAATCGTAACGTAACAAACATAACATAACATCAAGCATTTAACACTTCGACAACATCGTGTCATGGTAAGCTTGAAACCATCGCATCTTGGTTCCTTTTCTCTGAAACCGGTATATACAAGGTATCTCATAATAAATGGAACACTTTACAAGAACCGATCCTACGAAAACTAAATTGCTTTCGCTATGGAAGAATTATCAGAAGGAGGCAGCAACATAACGAAAGTCCTTCTTTCAGTTTAAATATTTTTTAAGAAGCGTATCACTTTACACGCGCATGACAAAGTAGTGGAGTGGTATCTAGGAGTAGATTAACAAGCCAGAAAATTAATTTCATTACTGAGTAGTTGCTATCTACCTCTGATACTCTTTCCACGGTTGAGAAACTAAACGAAAAAGTTCGACTAAAAACCTGTTACGAATGAAATGTTCTTTGATCGCGAGTCAGTTATTATTGACACGAAGGGTTGAACCGTCCGCCGACGCGATGGCGGTAAACGGACGGCATAATCGTATGTATACGCCTAATCACGGAGTCAAACGAAAGATTACCATTGCTAATGGACTTAGAGACGCGCTAATGAAACGTGTTGCGTCGGAGCGTTTAATAATCGATCGACGTCGCTAAATGTAACTAACAATACGCGCGGACCGGCGTTGCATGAATAACAATCCGGTGATGGGTGCGTTGGCTTTGGCTTACAGGGGAGGCACCACCTACCGACGTGACATCCAGCGAGATTAATTCTTCCTACATCATCGTCATTATCATCACTGTTTCCGCCTCTGTTTGCCTACTCATTGCTGCGCCCATAGTCTTTGCTACATTAAAATCGAAAAAGAAGGCTCAACGTTCCGGTAAATATAATCACTGTCACGTACTTTTCTTTCTGCTTATCCCCCAGGGCCGAATAACGCGGAGAACCTGCCGGACGTTCTCTTGGAAAAAGGGGATTTTGCAATGAATTATATCTATACGTTTGCAGCAACCTCGCTCATCTTTTTTGTCATAAATGTACTGATCATCGTGTTGTGGTACATTATGAGAAAACGAAATAAAGATCGTAAGTGAACACACATAAATGTATCGAAACGAGGCCGGACCGGACACGGTCCGCGATCGTCAAAGTTCAAACGTTTGACGAGCAAAATGGAAATATATAATTTTAGTTAGATATAGGCAGCTATCGTTAGGGATGCATCGTTTCTCGTCTAATCGCCGTTTCTCTTTGGGACATTCCGCAGGCATCAACAAGTCGCAGACGACTGATATGTACGCACCGTCGACCGTCAACGGGGACACCATGACCGGTGAAATAAGTTCGGTTTCGGACGAGAAGAGCGACGTTAACTTCGACACTAACGATTACGTGGTCAGTGCGATCAGTCAGTATGTTCTTAGTAACAAGTAATGCCGGAGGGTAGGTTTGAGTTCTATTAACACATTTCTGTTTCGTTTTACTTTTCGTTCATCCTCTCCGATCACCACCCTGCACCGGCCACTCGAATTTAGTGATTTGAAGCACTCTTTCCCCGTTTCGTTCTACTATGTCCCCCTGTCGCATTAAGCTTTCCGTCGATCCGTTCTGTAACAGTGACCACCGTTAGAGATTAATCCATAGAGATAATACCCTCTCCCAACCGTATCTTTCACTTTCATTTTCTTTTCTAACTTTTTTTGTTCACGTAACATCTAAACATTCTGTCTCCATTTCTTGCAGTAGGCATTCTTTATGGTTAGGCAGGTCTATAGGGTGGATATTTAGAACAGTTTCCATGCACGTAGAGACACCGGGAATTCTCGTAATGTATCAGGATGATGAGATTTATATCGAGAGAGAGAGAGAAAGAGAGAGAGAGAGAGAATTCTGAAGTGTTTGGCTCGCGTCGATTTCGGTAACGTACTTCATGCTGATACGCTACGAACGACGCGATACACTTGTATAACTCCGACTGTCATTCCAATTTGGTAGTTAGACACCAGTGTCATAGAGCAGTTGCAGGTTTGTCTGTTCAATGCGCGTCGATTTAACCCGAACGATTTCTCTCTGTGGAACCCGATAGGACGAGGGACGGAAGACAGCAGCCAGCACTTATTTAATCGATCAAACCATGCAAGACTTCAGTAAAGCGAACTTAGAAATGCAAGTGCATCATCAAGGAACACTTGGTCGACGTGGCAACCACATTCAACCGCCCATGATGGATTCGCCGCCGCAGCGAACGACAGCCAGTGGCACGCTATCTGGTATGTTAACTATTTAGAACATCCATCCGATCATCAACCATCCTATCCACCGACACTCCAATAACAAGACTTCTACTCCTAGCGTCCCTGCTTTCAATGAAATCGCTATCGTTCTGTTATAAAACATCCCCAATCGTTTTGCAGTATCAAAGTCAAGCTACATCGGTAACCCCAGCCCAGCGCCGCCGAACGACGTGAACTTCTACAGCGTGGAGATCGACAACGGCCGTTACATGGGATACGAGACAAACCACAGCCCGATCCCGGTAGTCGGCGAGCCAGGCTCGGGCACTTATTACCCGTCGATGAGCCCAACGGGACACCTGGTTTCGGGCCACTTGAGCAGCGGCACGGGCACGCTGACGCGGAGCAGAACTCTGCCGCGCCCCGTGCCGCCACCCGATGTAACAGTGATGACCGCTGGATCGAAATCGCCGATCCCGCCGTCGGTGCCACCTCCACCGACGACCTTCGCCCGGTCTATGCCCGGGAACGCGCACATCCACGGCCACTCCCTGTCGACCTTCACCCCAACACCTGCCTACTCCGACATCGACGGCCATCTTGTCTGAGGATCACCGATCTTCGGCCCCAGCTCGGTACGCGGCAAGTACCGCGCCGTGCCGAGGGACGAGACCACGATCACCGTTACAGAAAGAACCACTCGGCTTTAAAATCCATTCTGACACTCGCGGAGTGAACACTAAACCCCGACGACGGATCCATCGATCACCGTTGAACGGCGTCACCGAGCAGCATCCTCGGAGCGAGGTCAAAGCTGTTGACAGCCGCGATCGCGGTGGTCTCATTCTCCACTGTCCGTTTCTTTTTCATTTTTTTTTCTTTTTTTGTTCACTCTATTCGATCTTCATTCGTGTGGGTGCACCGACGACCATTGATTATCCTCTTCGAACACGAAAGAAAGTAAAGAAGTATGTAAATACGAGAAATATCGACCGGCGCCGGCGTGGCGCCGATCCATTAACGTAATTTTAAAGTAAGCACGCGAACACCGCGTCCCCCGCGCTCGTTCTCTTCATTTCACGCGGGCAAAAGTGCGTTTCTTTGCCCTCGCGCTTCGACTTCGTAGTTTTATGTTCACGCATATCACCGCCGCGCGGTTCGGCAAACACGGACGATCCCGTGGCGACGATCGGTACTCGGCGAGAACACCGGATCGTTCGCCGATCGACGAAATTCGCGAGCCCCGCCACGCGAAAGCCATGCGTTCTCCCGTTTTACGTTCGCGCTCTCGCGAGAGACCGGTTCCCTCAGTTTTTCCTTTCTTCGGGATTTGTGCATCCGACTTCGTTCGCAGTGAAACAGAGAAGAAAAACGTTCGGCCGTGTGTGCTTTTCCACGTGAACGTGACGGGACGGATCGTCGTACTCGCGCCGACGGAAACGGGCGTCCGATGACCGGCGTCCGGCGTCCGCGAGCACAAAGGTATAGTATGGATTTTACGATCACGTTATGCCTTACTATCCTCGTCTTGGAATAAGTTAATCGTAGTTCGTACCGTCGACTGACAAACCCGTGCAATCTAACGGTGAAGCAACTGGCGGAGATACAATGAGGAGGACGAACATCTCAATGATCCATAGTTACACACACATTTCCTAGATTCGAACGATCGATACATGGCTGTATTGTGTTCGTTTGTCGTTTGCGTTTTCTACTGACTCGATACTCAACGGTCTACACGGGAGACGTCCACGGATGTCTCGGGAATATTTCAATACTGTGCAGAGCCGGGTCGCCTGGCCAGCGAAAGGAACGAAGGTTTCATTGCTCGCTGTAACCTTCTTCGTGTCTGCTCACCTTTTTTCACGCAATTGCGAAGACAGAGCACAAGTATATTCGTTTCTACCTAAAACGGTATCGTCAGATGAATCTATACCGCTAATTTGAACGTGTGCCAACAGGAATACGGAGGCGAGACCTCGGGAATTTCATTGAGTTGTTCCTTTCGCCCACTGGTTGGCTGTGCACAGTACCAATCACTTGAAAGTAAATCCCAATTCGACGAACACGAGCCACGAACCGATCATCAGCGACTGGAAACACGTTCGAAGGGTGTTGTCGATGACTCGAACGGTCAGAGTCGATGGTGTCCCGGTGTCGTCGCGTTTTTTTCTCGTTTCGTAAGTACGTACGACCGTCCATGATTTCGTTACGCGATTTGTTGCGGGAAAAGAGAGTGCGAGAGGTCTATGGGAACCGAAAGAAGATCGGGCCGACTTTCTTGGTTGAAATTTCGATGGAAGCGAGACAATCGTTTTACGCAGGGAAACAGTTGACGACGTTCGTAAGAGTAACCGTTAGTGAAATTGACAACTGATTTCCTTCTTGCCCCTTCCTCTTGCTAATTGAAAACGCGACGCGCTCTCCGTCTCGATCGGAACGGATCTAGCTGGTTCTGGGAAAGGGAAAAACGCCAAGGAGTGTGAAACGAGCGGAAGCTAGCACGCATCGGCGAATTGAACTCGGATGTGCTCGGTAGGTGTCGAACGCTAGGCGACGCTTTTAGGTAAATGCAAAATTTCGAAGTTCGCGGGGTCGAAGTTTAACCTGGCGGGTTGCGTTGACCTACTTACTCGGTTGGAATGTCCGCGAAACGGTGACTCGATCCCCGCGTCTTTTTTTCTTTGTGAACGTTTGAGATCGCGGAAATTCGAGCGACCGCATCTTTTCGAAGTATAGATTCGACTCGAGGTTTGTTAATGTTGTTTCTCTTTGCTTTATCCGTTTACACTGATCCATACTCGGGAAAAGTAAATAGAAGATACTCGGGAAATTATTGTCTAACGTTTCTCTTGTAAATAACTCGAAAGAAACGAAAGGAAGCAAGAGTTCCGTTCTGTTCGCGACTATATACAATTTCTTGAATTTCGGAACCAGTCGTGGCTATGATTGATCTTCTATCCATCGCAGTGGAATATGGGACGATAATTATACTCATGATTTCAGAGCATTCGTCTTTCGTTATTTCAACACTTTTGTACTTTTTATAATCATTTGTGACAAGAAAAACGTTCGACTATAACGACCTGCGAGTTTCTGCGCGAGTACAGTGATTCTTTCGTTCTCGTTGATTTTTATCAATATCCTAGAGTCGTTACTTTCCTTCGCAAGGTAAAAGTAGAGAATGCAATTTCTCACTGCCGAGTCCTGAAGTCAATACTATGGATAGTTGAATTGATCGGACGACAGAAATGAAGGGATCAGGAAATGCGTTCGCGTATTCTTGATCCACGGTTACGGCAGGCCACGCGCGGAAATAAAATGGCGCGCGTCACCCTTGACATCGTTATGTACAGTTCTTCTTCGCACGTTTGATATTATTAACGTTTCGTTCGGCAACGGTGCGACCGTTGATGTTACATTCATTAATTGCCGAAGTAAATATATGTTACGATATACAATATAGCACAGAAGATGAACGACGAAAAGCATTACTCTAGAAATTAGGAAAATATCTATAGGGTGAACTGTTTTCACGTGATCGAAGGGCGTGCTGGTTTTGTTCACGTTTTCGGTCGGGTCTGGTTCACGAATGAGTTCGGTTTAGTTGGATTTGACGGGACCCTCCTAGGATAGACATTGTTTTTTGATATACTTTATTCTTACGATACGCGGTATACATTGAAACGATACTTTTTATAATTACACTTTACTGAGAAAGCTGCCAAATATTTGCAAATATTGTCAATTAACGATGAACGATT